ACTGGACTTTCCGGTAAATTTATATTTTTCTCGGAAACTCTTCAATATTCATTTCTACTTATAACTGACATTCATTTTTGCAGGTATAGTTGAAGGACTCAGTTATATCATAGTTGTACCTATGTTGCAAATAATTGGTAGACGGAATACATCATTCATTTTACTTCTATGTTCATCCATGTCATTTACGATTCTTCTCTTTATATCAGAAAACATGAAAAATACCAAAATGTTCATCGCTCTTTTTGGTAGACTTTGCGTTAGCAGCGTGTTCGTCGCTGTGATAGTTCATTGCAGTGAACTTTTCCCAACTATTATGAGAAACATAGCAATTGGAACCAGTTCTACGTGGGCACACATTGGCAGTACATTAGCACCATACCTTGTGGATTATTTTGTAAGTTAATAAAAAAGATTTTTGCCAAAATATGATGGTCTTTTGAAGCTTGAAAAACACAAAGAAACGCGTTGTTAAGTTTTTATTAACACAATTAAATATCTACATCGTTTGTAATAAGAATGTCGCGTTTGTATTAAGAATTTTTTTTTAGTACTAATACGAAAGTATACTACCTATCATAATTTTGTTACGCCAAAAGTATTTTCAATATATTAAAAAATATTTTTTCCCCTGCAAGCCTTTTAAACCTCATTTATATGATTCAGAATAGATACAGATATAAAATAGTTAGGAGGTACTTTGGTTTCAATTATACAACTACATATAATTTGGCTGAAGAAATATTTCATGTAATGTCATTTATCGTGGCAGTTGAGAAATTAAATTTTGTATATGTATATGCAAAAAGAGGCTTACATCGTATGTATGCGCATGTACATGTGTATATTATATATACATACTTGATTTATGTACTTCCTCTTCGTAATGTCTGTTAAAATATCGAAAATCAGTTAAATAAATTTCCATAAGTTATTTTTCAACATGATTATAAGTTCTACTAATTGGTGCCAGTACAGTACGATCTCCGTATACCACTTCTGCAGCAAAATAAATGGGACAATCCCCGAAAAAGCTTATCTAGACTTTCCAAAATTCATTGATAATCCAAATTGTATTATACTATTTAGTTAGTCTATCTAAAAACTTTATATATTACTATATATTATATTTATATATTACGCGAAAACATGTATATAAAAAATGTAACATAAAAGTTATAATTCACATAATCATTATTGCATAACTTCTGATATTAATTTTTAAAAAAGAAATTTATCTTTACTCTGTAACAAATGCTCTTTTTATAATTATTATATCCCTTTCCGCTAAGTAAATATTTTCATCATAAAATGCAATATCATATATAATAGACTAAAATCCAAAAAAATGGGATGTTCAAGATACAGAAAATTTTAAATATAATTTCATTATAATTACAGGTTATTTATGGATGGTGGGTACCAAACTCCATCTGTGGCTTAACAACGTTTATCAGTGCCTTGTCTACACAGGTATTCCCAGAAACTAAAGACTTAAAGTTATATGAGACTATGGATGACTTTTTTTCAAGATGTAAAGCCAATCCCAGAGAACAAATATCTTTTAAAAATAGTATAATATACACTCTACTTATAAAATTGAATATTGTCAAAAAGCCTACCTCTACGATGACCACTTAAGAAAAATGAAAAGCAATTCCATGATACATTTGTTCACTTCGTATAGAATACATGCTTTCAATGTCCCCTCGGAATTTTTTGAGCTATATGTATGTACAGCTTAAAATTTATGAAAATATGTACTATAATGTTTTATAATTCATGAAGAAAAATTATACGGAATGCAGGAATATACATTAATATTCCCTTTTAACTTTCATACAATAAAGCACTTCTACAATTTAACAGCTTAACAATGAAAAGTGTATAAATTTAAAGCCTTTCTTAATTTAAATTATTTTTCCTCATTAATTATAAGTTCTTATAGTACGTATGCCTTAAAAAGGAATTCTATTTTCCTTCTATATTAATTTAGGTTTATCTACATATTGTTTTCCATGATGAATAATGGTTGCAAAAGTTCCTGCAACCATAGCACCCCAAAATAACATATAAAGCAAAACTTCTGTAGTATATCGAGAGGGAAGAATTATATGTGCGACAAGCATTGATGATGCAACCAACAAAACTAATGGGAATGTAGCGTATCGCCAATTTCGTTCAGATTCCAAGGGACATTGAATCAAAGTACATTCGCCATCTTGCACGATATAGCGACCTAAGAATAGTTCCAGTGAATCCTGTAGAAATATATAAATTAATATTAATATTAAACCGACAATATAGAATGAATTACGCACCTGTCGATAACCATCCGCAAAGTTATTTTTATAGTATCTTGTTAATGAATTTATACCATCTCTAAATGCACCCAATTTTGTACGTTTACCAGTTCGTGTAAAATCCGTTTTTAATGCACCTGTACCAGAATATTGTATACTTACAATATCCGCATTATCAGCCCATACCTAAAATAATAAATCAATAGTTTTCTATTTCTAATGTATGATTTTATATTTTATACCTGCTTAAAAAGATTTTCAAAAGAAGGATGATCTTCAATCTTCCGTAGTACTTCCAACTTCGTTAATACTTCATTCAAAACTCTTTTCGCTAACATACTTTGAACAACGTTAGTACGATCAAGACAGTCGATACAATTTGTACGGAAAACACCATCTTGCACAGAAAGCAGTAGTCCGTCTCTTGTGAGAAGAAAATAACTCATTTGTTCCTGATCGTGAGCTAATCGGTCCATCAAAATGTTTAATCGATCCCATCTTAATCTTCTACATTCCGCATGAAAATCGAAAGCTTCATATCGTACGTTTTGATTATTAATTCTCTGAACAACATCATGATATGATTTTTCTAATATAGCTTCTGGTCCATGATGGTCAATCTGTAAAATGATATATATTTCTTTAGATGAAAATGATACACATAAATTTAATATCTCTTAACTTACCAAATTTACTAAAATTTGTTTTCCATAATGGAAAATCTGAGAATCAAAATGCCTAGCACATGCAGTCTGATGATCTTCATGAACACTTAACTGGGGCTTAGGTTTATATTTCAAATTTGGAGCTTGGTACCAAAACAAAGGTATGGAACCCCGCGTTTGTACAAAAGAACTACGATATCCATTTACTTCGATTAACTGTTCTGTTTCTACATAATTAGAAACATTTCCAGTAGAATCTATACCACGCGAAAAAAGTCTTGTACCAGCACGATGTATACTGCGTCTTGAAACTATACCCCAATTAAATGCAATACTATTGACAACAACAGTGTTCAAAGATATAACTATTGATATTGAATGTCAAGAAATATATTAATCAAATCAATATTCAGAATATTAATCAAATTAATATTTCATAATAATTATAAACAATGAAATTAATGTAAATAAAGATTACTACTACATTTAAAAAAATGTAAATTTTAAAAAGGATACATCCATGTATAATGGGTAGGCAAAATTTGTATAACTCGATCCTTGCTGTTAAATCTTGCAAAAGGTAAGCATTCCATACAAATCGAAGGTCTGCTCTATCATAAAGTGTCATCTAAATAAATCGTAGACACATTAATACAAATTTCAAATACATAAACACAAACTATTGAAATATCCATATAGTAGTACCAACCTGTAGAAATTCAGGTGTGGTATTATGAAGCCTTTGGATAGTGTGACTGAGATCGTATGTATAACTAAAGTAAAAGTAAGGTGTATTTAAAACAGATTTAACCATTTCTAAATATGTGGCATTATTCTGTACTTGTTTTTCACTCAAATGTAAAGACGATCTTGAATATGGTATCACATCTGTGGAAACAATTTTATAAATTTGTTGACCTGCTATTGTTCCAATCATTAGCGCATCTGTAATTACTATGAGATAACGACACGCTAAGAGACGGATAGATCCTACTATGCCCCATATTTTTCTACGACTCGCAGTAGGTGGTATTAGGCTGGCTGTACCAACTAAGAACAGAAAGAAATTTATCTAAAAACATAATTTTAAGTAATACAATATGTAGAATCTAACTTACCTTGAGTATAAACTTGTTGACTTACTCTATCGACTACAAGTAATACTTTAATACCAGCTGGCTCAACATAAAATTTTTCTGGCGTAGCATATCTAAAAAAAATGAAATATGGATAAGTTTTTATATATAGATAAGCTTAAAGACCTAGATGATACCTTGTATAAGAATTTAAGAAATTTAACAAAATTATATTAAGATTGAAATACTTACAAATATAAGTTATCATACAGATCAGTACTTAACTTCATATTGCGTTAAATGTGTAGTGCTAAATTATAAATTTATGCAAATCTCGGAAAAAAGATCGTTAAATAAAATGAATTATAATCGTGTTGTAACTCGTAATCGATTATAGAAATAAAACCATAAGAATAGTAATAGAAATATGCCTAAAAAACGTATTGACAATTTATTGGAAATTTATTGTCAATTTAATTTTGCAACTAACATTATTTGTCAAAATTACAACACAATGACCACTGTAGTTAGGTTACGGTTGATTTTCTTACGCAGAACTATCTCGATGCACTGATGTCTTTCGTGATTGGCTAATGTTAAAGTGCTTACTCAATCCGTGAATGTAAAATGAAATACTTAATAATTGTAGTTTTGTAAAAAAATATTCAAATAATTAAAAATATTATAATTATAGTTATAATATTATAATTACACGGTTAAACGTTGTAAATCTATGAACGGTTATATATTATATTAAAATCTCTTATTTCTGATAATTAAAATTGAAGATTCACATATAAAAATATATTTTTCACAATAAAATTTATGAATATTTCATCTAATTTTATAATTTAAAATTTCTACTACTATAAAATATTACGATATAGACATTAACTTGATTTTGATGAAAACAGGAATTTAGTTGGCTTCCAATCTTAAACTAAAAAAATAGTTAGTGCATTTGCATAAACAGTATATCTGATAAGAATAGTTTATTTTTATAAAATTCAGCAAAATACATCGAATATATACATTTTATACGTAATATAAGATTGTACTATTTATAGCAATACACAAAAAATCTACGTTCTTATTGGCCAGATAGAAATAATTGAACTCCAGCGTCCTTGTTTAATTTGCTATCCAGTGCATTATTGGAGTGATTGAACGTCATTGCTTGATCAAACATACATGATAGTATTTCCACCATTTTTTGTAGGAATATTTTCATCGAACTTTATCAATAAAATTGAATAATTACGTAGTAGAACTACCAATTTAATTTGTTAAGGACTGAATAAGGTAAGCTTTTTATATTTTTATTGTAATTATTGTTTTAAAAGTATTACAAATCTGATAATTCTCATGAATTTCTTTTATCATTAATATACCCTACATTTAACCTTTGCTCATAAGATCATTCATAATGTAATATTTAATTATCACATTTTTCTCTTTTTATAATCTAACTACTTGATTGAATAAATTTTATTATTTACCTAATAAAATTTATCATTATGCAAACTTGCTGTAAATAATTTTAAGTTTATTTACTTAAAGTCTTAAATTATAAATATTCCATAATGTTATTAATTTATGATATATTATAGATCAACATTTATTTTTTTAACTGGTTGTTTTTCTATAATAAATCTGTATATTAGTTAACTTCTATTAAAAATATAAACTTCTTGATTTCAGATGGAGCCGATAAATGTCGTTGTAACTGGGGCTGCTGGCCAAATTGCTTATTCTTTATTATATCACATTTCATCCGGATCAATTTTTGGTCCAGAACAACCAATTAATCTTAAATTATTAGATATTCCACCAATGATGAAAGTTTTAGATGGAGTAATTATGGAACTTGAGGATTTGGCGCTTCCTCTTATTAGAGGTAAATCATCTAAATTATAATTTTCTTTAATAACTATTTTCTTATTTTCCAGAACATTACTATTATTATATTCATGCTAAAGTTAAATACTTTATAGACAGTTAACATATTACATAATAAAAAATGTTATATATAATATAATGTATTATATACAATGTAATACTTTAATATATTGATACTAATCATTTTTTACTATTACTCTACAAGTTAAATATATGAACAAGAAAGCAGACTTGAACTTGGCTGTATAATGGAAAATTACTTTCTTCTTAGAGGTTTAAAAAAATGTAAAACAATAAATATAAAGTTAATAAGAATACAATTAAATATAATGCTATAAACAATTTGGTTTACAGAAATTGTACCAACAACTGATCCAGTTGTAGCTTTCAATGACGTAGCAGCTGCTTTCTTAGTTGGCTCCATGCCACGAAAAGAAGGAATGGAACGCAAAGATCTTTTAGCTGCCAATGTTGAGATTTTCAAGGTTCAAGGTGAAGCTCTAAACAAATACGCACGTAAAGATGTAAAAGTGTTGGTTGTTGGAAATCCAGCTAATACAAATGCCCTTATATGTGCACATTACGCAACATCTATTCCAAAAGAAAATTTCTCAGCTATGACTAGATTAGATCAAAATCGAGCACAAGCTGCTTTAGCAATTCGATTAGGTGTTCAGGTAAACTAAGATTCCTAATAGAGATATTATTTTTTTAATCTACAATGAATATATTTCAACAATCTTGATTCTACAATCTATAGGTTGATAAAGTAAAAAATGTTATTATTTGGGGCAATCATAGTTCAACTCAATATCCTGATGCAACGCATGCTACTGTAGACTTCGGGGAGTCTTCTAAAAGTGTACCAACTGTAATAAATGATAACGATTGGTTAGATACTACTTTTGTAGAAACGATTCAAAAACGCGGTGCTGCTGTAATTGCAGCAAGAAAAATGTCATCTGCCATGTCAGCAGCTAAGGCTGCAGCAGATCATATGAAAGATTGGTGGATAGGAACGAAACCAGGTGAATGGGTGAGCATGGGTGTTGTTTCAGATGGAAGCTATGGTATAGCAAAAAACATTGTTTTCTCTTTTCCTGTTACCATAAAAGATAAACAATACAAGATTGTCCAAGTACGTATTATTTATATAATCTTTCTTTCATTGTAACTGCAATTTTTCATTATATTAAGCACATTCTACATTATATTACTTTTTAAAAATTGATTGCACCTTTTAATTGAAATAAAAATTATTTATTACTTTGCAGGGACTTCCAATGAGTGAATTTGCTCAATATAAACTAAAAATCACAGCCCGGGAATTGGAAGAGGAGTACAAAGAAGCAAATAACATCCTTCAGAATTGACTAGAATCTGGAGAAGATTATACTTTGGAAAAGAAACTATCTATGCCAGCGAAGTTATAAGAAATACCTATTGTATATAGATAATATATAAGGAGATATGGGAATAATTATATTTCTTATTGTTAAAGAATGATAATTTACCATTGAGGGAATCAATATTACAAATATCAGTAAAAATTATGAAAATAAAAATTCAAATTTGACTTGATAATCATTGTTTTAAATATTACTTTACATTTATAGAGAAACTTTTTCTATGTAATGTAAGCCACCAGATTTAATCGAGCATAATAAAATTGAATTATTGAAAAATGTTTCTGGAAGTTTTACTATACAATTATATTTATAATACTTGGAAGCTAGTACTAATTCTGCGCGTTTAAAGTTACAATACAACTGAAAATCCATAAAATCATTAACATGTAACTTTGTCTAATTCGTTCATAATTAATTATAGATCCAATAAAAATGTAAACTTTAAACGAAATATATACTTCATAACGTTTTTTTTTTTTTTTCTTTTATTCTTCTCCCCAAGATTCAATAATAATTTATATTACAGTAATAGTAACTATTCTTTATGTCAATATTTTCACTCACCTTTTCTGACAATTATATTATTTTTATATCTTTTTCCCTAAACACTATTATTACAATCATACTGATTTTTGCCTACAAATAGAATTATTTTGTGAGCATTAAGTAGCATATTGTACAAAGATGCAGAGTGCTTGGTTTTACAAAGTTTCTATAACGCTCGCATTAAAATCAAATTATGTACTTGGTTCGCTTTGTTTTGCAAATTTAATTTCTGATGATACTTAAGTTTTAAAGATATAATAACCGTCTAATAAAGACACTTTGTTAGAAGGACAGATGTTTAGATGCTTTAATAATTGGTCTGGATGCTGAAAAACATCACTTTGATAGTGATAATAATAATAACTTCGCATTTCTGCAGATAATTTTGATTTCCATCATTTTTATGTGATACTAATAGCACAATGCTTTATTATGACTGAAGTATTTTCATAAAGAAAATATAAATTTTCTTTGAAATTGCATCTCATATGAATCATTTTCCAAGCACAACAATATTTCACAAAAGACGGTACGAACATTTGTTCTAAATTTAAGGAACTGTAAAGTTCTTGTTCCATAAAAACAGCAAATACACTTGAAAACACTCGCAAATATTACGTTTTATGGGAAAATACGTTCTCTCATGTTGGACAAAACTTGCAATATGCTGTACGTTAAATACCTGGAACAGACTGGAATAAACTATTGTTTATGTATAAAATATAAATTTGTTGCTCCTCTTGTAATAACTAATATATAATAAATTAACAGATCCTTTTATGTTACAAATAGAACATAATATTACCTAATAATTCGTCTGCTAAAGTGCGCAAACCTCGTGTAAAATATAATTAGTTCGATAAATTCTTGTTGTTTAAATTTATGGAACCGTAAATGAGGGCCCAGATAAAAGATATTTAACGTTACCAAATGAGATTGATGAAACAGTTAGAGATGCAATACATTTTTCTTATTACACGATTGTGTAAATTACCAATGACTAGTAAACATGTAATATAAGCGATATAAATCATTAAAGAGAGCTAATATCACTCACTATGCGGTACACGATAAATATAGGATTTAATTAAATATTTCGTTTATATAGTTACGTGAATAAGCCCTCTTGTGAACAAATTTAACAGTACCTTATACTGCTAAACATTCAATTCTATGATTCTTAATTTTGTATTCTAATAAGTGAGAATCATTTTGACATACATATATATATATAGAAGAGTATAATGTAAACACAATGCTTCCGTTCCAGGTTACGTACATCATTATCACTTACAATTGTATTATTTTTCATTGGACACGGTTTGACGTAATGGTCAAATAACATTTAAAGGCCGTACTGAGTTTTCATATCTAAATTGCACATTTGAATCTGCCAAATAAGTTCAAATCGCGCAGTTAGCGAACGAGTATTTCTTTTTGCTATAAAATAGTTTCTTGTTTGAGCAGAAACATTTAATTCAAGTGAAACCCTCTTTCTCTGGTAGCAGCCAATAATCGTTCTTTCAAAATTTCTTCTGTAGGATATTCTGGCAATTTTAAATAATGTACGCAAGTATTAACGGAAGGATAACCGCCAGATCCAGCATCTACTTTGCGTACAACCGTTAATCTAGGATGCAAATTACATAAGCCCCCTGGAGGTAATGCTGAACATCCAGTAGCAAATTGTAGGAAAGCTTTCCTCTCTGAACCAGTTAGTGATACTAGTACATTGACAAATCGTTGGAATCCAGGACTACAAGGGAAAAAATAAATTGATATTAAGATACTAATAGATGACAGAAAATAAAAAATATTAAAATGTTTACCTTTCTCTTGTATAACCAAGTTTTGGTTCTGTATAATTAAGCAAATCTTCTCTAGTCCACTGTGGATTTTGTTCACCGCACAACATAGCTCTCACTTCTTCTGGACTGAAGGCATGTAATTTTTCCATAGGAAAAACTTTAGAGAAGCCAGATTTAAATGCTTCAAGTTGTCTGCAAATGCCTCGGTCCAAACAGTAAGCGTTTGTTAAATCAGCATATTCTTTAGCATTCTCAACAGTTACAGGAATCTCCGATCCTCCTTCTATTAATTCCACCTGATCATGTTGGAAAACTCTCGAACTTGGAGAATATGTCATAGTCAAAGCCAGATCTTCGATAGCTACTGATGTTCCAGATGGATGAGTGATGCATAATGATGTTTCTTCATCGGCAGAACTGCGTCCATCAGAAAGTGTCCTATCACGTTTGGCCATTCTATTTAATATTTCTTTTAAGAAATCACCTCTCACTGGATCGACAACAACGAGATCTTCAATATCCAATAGACCACTATACCATGGAGAAGGTTCTAATGTCGAATAAGCTGTGTCAGCCTCACCTTCCTCTGAGATGAAACTACTCGACATACTAGACGACATGCTTTCTTGTGTAACACCAGTCAAACCGATTTTTTCATTTACATTATTTGTAATATCACCACGACACATTAGCTTTAAGAAGGGACGAGATAACGGTAGATCGACTAATCTATTATCTTGGAGAACTTTCGCCAAAAATACACCAAGAAACCAAAAATATCTGACAGCACGATCACAAGCTGTAGAATCTTGAGGTAGAGGGGCAGGAAATAATCCACTAGGACGTACAACATAATATCCAGCTGGACGCACCTGCTCTCCAGAGACACATGTTTGTTGATTATCACATGATTCCTCGTCGTCGCATAGCCAAAGGCTTAAATCTTTACGTTGTAATTCTGCTGCAACTAGTGCAAAAAATTCCAAGGTTGGTCCCAAGCCAGTACCTTCCTCACCAACAAACTCTACCTCTAATATGCTCTTGCGGCTTGCATGTACCTATGTTAAACAATAATAATAAATTATTTTATAATCATATTTACATAAAATTTGTTATAGTTCTAATAAGTTAATATCAAGCATATACGATATTATACCTTTAATACTTGTTCAGCCCAGTCTAATAATTTCTCTCCCCTTGGTACACTGACTCTTTCGTGTTTAAGTCTACCCACGCGAAATTCATGACTGTCATCACGTCGTGGACTTAATCCGGGTGCTCTCTGCCTTTCAAGAACAGCATCTCTTTGTGTTTGCAACCAAACAATAGATCTAGATGCACCGAATGCAGTGCAACTAAAGTATAATCGCCTAGTCTCAAAAGGTAACAAAAAAGGACAGCTTCTTGCTAATTCTTCACACCAATTTGGTAATGCACCAGCAGCTAAAGCCAATGGGTCCTGAATTTGTTGTACTACTTTGTTTGTTATTTTTTTTGAGGTAAAATCATCTGGATGTACCCAGCACATTGTATCCTCTGATTCTACGATGTCTGATACGTTGTTTCTACCATCATCACGAGTAGTACTCAAGACAAACACATGTCTTAACAATTGTAAAACATCTTCTACCGTACATGCATTTGTATTTTGTGTAGAATTACGAGAATACAGCGTTACAATTGGGGTCGCTCTACCAGATGATTCTTCTTCTCTGGCCTCTTTATATATTATACTGTAAATAAAAATATTATTAAATTTTCGAGAACAAAATATCATTGAAAAGTATTTAATATTCTTCATAGGTTATTAGATATAAACCTAATATAGCTGCTGGGTAGATAATTGTTAATACAATCTATATCAAACAAATAAAATGTTTTAAAAATAAATAGACATATTACGTGTATGTTGGTTCCCATATTCTTCTTAATTTTTCTTGACGACTGCCTAATTCAGTTAACTGCATCAGTTCTTGAACTGCTTGGAAGATACTGGCGTGTGGTTCTAAAAGTGGTAATTCTACGTCTGGTATTCCTGGAAGTCCTGGACCTTTTAATCTTAATGAGAGTCTAGGCATTGGTAATGATCCAACTCGCGTACTTGTTTGCGTTTCACTACCAGGTGGTGGAACTTCCAAATCTGTTGTCTATTTACAACATCATGTTATAATATTGTATAATGTATCTTATTAAGCAACTAAAACAATAAATAGCGATGAAAAGAGAGTGATATTTACTTGATTTATATTAGTTCTACCGGGTCTTGGGTCAAAAGCAGGAATGAGAGCAGAAAATTGACGTTTTAGAACAAATTCATCGTCCCATGCACGTCTCTTACTGCTTTGTGGTGCTTCTTCTTCCATGAACGCTGCTAATAAATTACGACTGACCATAACTTCTTCATATTCTCCTTCACAACCATCACCTTCTTCTTCATTTTCTTCATCATCTTCCTACATTTCACAATTTACAATTAAGCATAAGACGCATATTTGTATTACATGTTATTGGAAATTCTTTCACTTACTTCTTGATCATTTTCATCATTATCTTCCTCTTCTTCTAATACACCATCTTCGTCATCCTCTAATTCGGTAAGAAGAGTAGGACCACCAGTAGTTCTACCGCCACCTGCACTAGAGCTTGCAACTCCACTGCAGGACTCCAAAAAATCTTCAAGACTAACCTGAAGCCACAACTACTCATTACATTAAGGAGAAAGGTGTTATCTAAGTTATTTTTAGCTCTTTTACATTGTTACAATAATTTTTTAATAACTAATTTGCGATAATAACGATGCTAATTCGAAACAGATTAGTTT